TTTTCTTTTTAATTATTTTCTTTTTAATTATTTTCTTTTTAATTATTTTCTTTTTAATTATTTTCTTTTTAATTATTCCATATCATTATTGTGATGATCAGAAGGAAATGGTTACAAGTTTGCTGAATACTATTATGAGTTAGCTAGATAATCAAACTAGTTCTAATAATGAAACAGTAGAAATTTTCATAAAAACATATGCTATACCACAAAACTCCGAGCTCATTAAACCGAGGTGAGAGATTATATCACGCGATTTCGCAGATTTATGTGATATGAATTTATTACAGAATACCTTATATCGATATTATATCGATATTATATCGATAAAGTGAACAAATTTTCCCGCGAAATCATAGGAGCAATAATTTTGTCATCGTACGCAAGGTACATCTTTACAGTGACGTCTAAATTAATTTCAAATTTCGCATCGTCGCATTAATTGCTGCATTAATTGTTGATTCTAAATGTGGCAATACCGTAATATAATGAATGCAATATAATGCAATTCAGTATTTTTAACGTCAATTACAGTCAATACGCATGCTTCTGAGTTTTACTTTCTTAAATAACAAGACAATTACAAACTTTGTGATTCATTTCTCATTATTAAAGTCATTTAAATGACGTATGTAATGCTGAAAGCATCATGTTCATTCAGGGTATGACATTAAATGACTTAAATGATCATGCATTTGTAAGTCGTTTAAAGGTGTAAAAACTGTATGAATATATGTACGTTGCAGATTTCATCTGATGCTAGTTTTACTATAATCACATGACATCATTTAGATGTGACGTAAATAGTTAACAAATTTTTAGTCAGAAGTCATTTACTAAATATGTAATACGTAACGATAGGGTACATTCTTAAGTTAGTAAGTTACTATTGTATATATTCCAAACAAATATATATCCGATGATACATCACATGGTTGACGATATCCAGAGCAATATATTTCCGTCTTTTTTGTTGACTTTATTGGTCCAAGGTCAGAAATGTATACGCCAAATATTTGTTAAGATGTTTCCACTGTGTAAATCTTTAATATATCTTATATATCTTTTTAGAAGGAATTACTTCAGATATATTTCAAAGGTTAACTTTGTACGTACGTAAAGGGCTTTTTGATACTTCTGAGACTAAATTGAATTAAAGTTTTGAATGATCCTATAGTATTTCAGAAACGAAGGATTTTCATATCCAATTATATCATAAATTCATTATTTAACGTTAATTCATGTAACGTTTTAAGGGAAAATTTTGATTTCACAAAAATGTTATGAAACCAATCAATACATACATCCCTTGAAAATCCGCCATTATTTTTGAAATCCATAATAGAAAATATATTACTATTTGTTCATAAAACCGCAAACCTCCTTGTAGCCTATTTATTATTATTCAAACGTTTTATGTTCATCCTTTTTATGTTGACTGGTTTTGTACGCCAGCTCTCCCTGTTGACATCAATGATCTTTATGAGTACTTTGGTTCAGCCTTTTTTTTTTTTTTCTAACACTAATTTATTAAAGTTAATTTAATGATAATAAACGAATTAAAACCAATTAAATTTTTGTTAAAATAGTATGAACAAAATTGTTAAGATTATTATCTAGCTTCCTTTATAAGTCTTACACAAATTAAATTTGGTTAAAAAAAGTAACATTATAAATTTTTTACCAAAATGACTTGATATACTTATAAATTCTCTTAACCTTTTATAGTTTATTTTATCCAACAAAAAAATATATACGTATACGTATATATATGTATATCAAAAAAACCATTATCGTTTTTCCATTATTTTATCGTTACCCATATTATTACAGTATTATTAGTGTAGATCTCCCGTAATGTTTAATCATAAATCATTGTGATAGATTGTGATAGTGATCCCCACAATTCCAGATTCAGCACGTACGTACGTTACGTACATACGCAACGTAACGTAACGTAAAGTAACGTAACGTAACGTAACGTACGTAAGTACGAAACTATACTACATGCTTAACGATTCGCGGGTGAGAACATGAAATTATATTGGTGTCTCCACAAATCGATTTATTAAGCGTTTATTTGCATACTTTATGAGTACCAGTACGAACATTCTTTTGATAGGATGCAGATTAAAAAAATATTTGTAAAAATTAAACACAAAAAAATTTATTATATATATATATATATATTTATTATAAACCACAAAAAAAAAAAATAAAAAAATTTAATTATTCCCTTTATTATTATTTTTATTAATTTCCTTATTATTTTTTTTTCTTTAATCGATTCAACCCGATTAAAACGACTAAATTATGTCGAGTTATTCAAGTTATTCACCTTTATCATCTATTATGTCAACTACTACTACTCAAATACAACAAAAATCTTTATATAAACCAAAAAGATCAAGTTTGATGGCAATCCAAAAACAACAAGAAGAAAACGTTGCTATTCTTGCAAATACAAAAGAAGATAGTCCAATATATATGGAAATTAATAGTGTTATGTCCGAAATAGAAAAATTTCGTGCTAGATTACATGACCTTAGTAGAATTCAAGAACAAAGATATACTGATGATTCTATTTCCGATTCTCGAAATTATGATGAATATAATGAAACTTCTGAAATGATGATGCAAGCTGTTCAAAATCAACTAGCTGTAGTTAGGCAACATATTACTTCTATATTAGATAATTATGAATCTTTAGATGAAAATCTTCTCACTGTTATTATGACCTATAATGAAGAGGTTAATATAGCTTTACAAGAAGCTTTACAAGAAGTTCCTAGTCTTTATCAACATCAACCTCCTTCTTCTTTTCAATCTGATCCTGAACCTGATTCTCAACAAATTATTGAAGCTCAAGCTATTCAAATTCTTTTTTTGGAAAAAGCTAATTTTAATAATATTTTTCAACTTGTAACTGATATAGAACGTTGTCAAGATATTCTCTCCAATTTTACTAAATTAAATGATATTGATATTAATTTGGATCATTCTAGAGATCTTTTACGTAAATATGAATGTAAAACTCAACTTGATCTTCTTGATTGGTCAAAACAATTCTTTAGTGGAGTTTTACAACGTCATATAATTGATTCGGTTTTAGAACATTCGGATATTTATTTTAATGGAACTTTACAAAATACTTTAAACCAATCAAAACGTGATAGTTTGTTAAGAAGAAATACTCCTCAAAGGTTAAACCCTGAAGTTTATGCCGTTCTCGGTTCTAAAGATTATGATGGTTTCGATCATCCTTTTATCGAATTCGTCTCGGAAAAAGTTATTAATATTATGGATACTTATTGTAATATTAAATCTTCGGAAAAGTTAAAAAAAATTAACGATTCTGCTTCTGAAGTTGTGCATAGTATTATAAATGTTTTTTATTTTAGAATGCAAGCTCAAGAACCTGTTTCTCAATATCAATGGATTGATTGTGGTGCTAAATTTGATTCGGAGACGATGAAATCTATTTGGGATACTAAATTCGATGATATTGCTACGGACATTTGTTATTTTCCATTAATTGGTAGAAAATTGCTCAATCAACAAAAATTAAAAGTTTACACTAAAGCAAGAATTTTACCTTATCGTAAACAATTATCTCTTGAAAAGTTACCCGGTTATTGGCCAACATCTCAAAAAAATTAATAATATTAAATGTGTTAAAAGTATTGGTGGACTAAAAAAATATCGGACACTAAAAATTATACATTAACATTTTACACACTTATTACAAAAAAAAAAAAAAAATCTTTATTTTTTTTTTCTAAAGAAATTTTTAAAATTTTTTTTAAATTTTTTTTTAAAATCTTTAGCAGCGTGTTACAAAATAATTTATGTAAATAATAAACGTATGAACCATAATAATAAAAGATATAGAAACATTTAAATCGTATCATGTAAAACCAGAATTAATATTTTTAATATATCTAAAAAAGGACTTCCTATTTATACATTTATTGTTCTAACTTCATAACCTAACCACTAAAAAATTTTGCTAAATTCATTTCATTTATACACGAAAAATATTACATCACAAAAAAATATTACAGTGGAAAATGGAAACAAAAATAAATCGACGTTCTGGTTTCTCATAAACAAGTACCGATTTACTTTTGTATAGCTAATATACACATTGATATTGAGATATTTGAGATATTGGAAAATAAAAAAAAATCTAGTATTTCAGAAAATTCCAGTATTTCAGATAATTGTTTAAACTAATTGAACCATTTCGTTAATAAAAACTATTTGATATTTGTGTCTAACAAATTCCAGTATTTCAGATCATTGTTTAAACTAATTAAACCATTTCGTTAATTAATATTCGTGTCTAACAAATCATAAATATAAGATGACTTACCAGTACCATCGTGTGATCCAACCGTAGACATTGTACTAGGTTCGTCAAACACCATTAAATCTCCAACGCGATTACTTTCTCCTTCAAAGTGAGACGGTGCTTCTTGTCCTGAATCAGCTCTTGAGGTTGGACTCTTGAATTTATTTTTGTGATATACTTGCTGCTTGCTTGATTCTCCACGTCTTTTTTTGGATGCTAAAATCAACTGGTCACCGGTTTCTAATTTAACTGCTAAACCAATTCGTGTATCCGACTCATCATAAATTTCTTCTTGAATTAATTCTTCAAGAACATCTTCCAATGTTATGATGCCGATAGGATTATTTTCCTTAATCACAATGGCCATGTGACTTCTGCCATCTTGAAATGTATTTAAAATATCAAATAAAGGTGTCTCGGCTGAGACTGTAGGAATGGTATTTATAGGAAAGGTTTTTAACGAACGAGCATCATCTGGACTATACATTATTAAGGACTTTTAAATAAAATAGTATAAGTAATTTTGACTAACGTTAATGATTGTTAATTATTGTTAAAAAAATTGGGTTCATCTATTTTATTTTATTTTTTTTACCTTGGTTAGTAAAACGCCAATGATATTTTGACGTGATCCTCCAAATATGGGAATCCTTGAGTGACCTGTTGAATAAATCTCTCGCATGGTTATTCTATCCATGATAGTATCTATAGGTAACATGTAAACCTAATCAAGGGAAGAAAAAAAAATATATATTTACAAACCAAAAAAAAAAAAAAATGTACACGTAATATATATAAAAAACAAATGTTACCTTATCAATCGGTGTCATCGCAATTTCGACTGCTTTATCTTGAAGATCAAGCGCTCCACGAATAATTGTGACACTATCCGTAACAAGATCACCCCCATGTTTAGTAGAAGACCCATGATAATTAATTAATTCCTTCAATTCTATATCATCAAAAAAAGAAACAATATTGATAACGTTAATAATTTCAATATTGATAACGTTAATAATTTCGATATTGATGATGATAATAATGATCAACAATCCTATTATCCTATTTTAAATCTTACCCGCACGGCGATAAATTATACCATGATTTTCACCGAGAACTTTATCCAATAATTTTGCTATCGGATATGCGACTACATACTTTATATTATAATTAAATGATAATTGTCGAAAATATAGAAATATAGTTAATAAAAATAAAATAAAATAACATGCAAACATGTAAAGTAATTAAACTTACGGTCAGCCACATCAATATTCTCACGGGCCTAAATAATTAGCAATGATATTTAGTAATAATGATAATCATTAAATCTATTAATTAAAATATTATCATAACACGACTTGATTAATTTACCATGCAAAGAAGGCTCCGACGGCAAGTCCATATCTAGAACAAACAGCTTGTGGAATAATCTAATTAAATAATTATAAATTGTATAAATATATTACCCTATTTATCCTTAAGATTTTTTTTATCTTCTTAAAAACACATATATATATATTTTTTTTACCTCCCCAAAGATAACGATAAGAACACTAGAAACTAAAATTGCTGTTATACCACCGCCGCCCATCACGTCATCCATGATTATCGGAAGGGTTTCATTGACTAATACATTAACAAGAAGAAGAGTGACCAGAAGCATATGTCCATTTTTACGTATAGGCTTAATTCGTGAAGCAAATTTCCTAATAAGTCGATAAAGAAATTAAATATTGCAGGGAGAAGTACGTACGTACGTACGAATACGTAATTAATTCCAAACTATGTTACCGTTGTCGAGCGTCACCAGACGTAGCAAGGATATGAAGATTTGTTTCATCTAAACTCATCTAAATAAATAATAATAATTAATTATTTAAAAAAAAAATACAATTTCAATTTCAATTATTTCAATCATAAAAATTTAATGTACCAATCCCAGCGTCAACCCTAAAATTATGTTTTTTTTTTTTTTTTTTAATTAAAGACCAGACAATTTATAAATCTGTTCTATGTATTTAACCACCTTAACGACTTAAAAAAAAAAAAACTTACCCGCAAACAAACCACCTAATAGAACTAAAATAACTGTAAGGACAACTTTAACCCAGTATGGAAGATTAAGTTGCTCATGAATTTTCGGATGGTGATTGTTCACACTAGATTCTGGGTCTTTGTAAAAATCCTCATATTGATAAGGACGCGCAAGAACTCGTGATATCGAAACTACTAAAAAAACTCCAACTAATATTACCCTCGACATCTATCAAGAAGAAATCAAATATTTCGTTTGAAAGAAATTGAATTGTACTACTATTATATTTAATGTATCTACATATCAAAAAAAAAAACCATAACATGTGATGTCATTACTATACCAAATAACAATAAACTTGGTCTTTGTGTAATTGTGTAATCAAGTAATTTCAATTATCCGATGATAGGATTTGTCCGCAGAATAATTTTATTATTGGGTAGAAACGAAAGTTTAAAATTGTTTAATAGTTTCATATAATAAGCCGCCGGATAAACCCGTTATCAAGCATGCTCATACTTACTACCTTTTACCTTATTTATTTGGTCAAGGCAGCCCAAAAAATTAAATTCTTTTGGAATTCAATTTCTTTTGATCTTAAATCCTCGATCAAATAAACCAGTTATCGGGCAGTGCCTGCTTAATAACGATTACGTATTAAATATGATTTTTCACATGATCGTCATTGGGTTGATTGGGTAAGTGTTAGCGTTAGCAAATAATAGCGATAGTAATTTGTTAATTCTGCAACCATAATGGCGTTTCCCGGAATTTATACAGTTACAACTCCGTAAATAAATGCATGGTAGATGTAAAACTTCTAAATGTACGGTATAGTCTGGTCCCAACTTATAAGAGTCTATATATTTTGTTCTCTTTAAATGTACTAAATGCACATTTGAAACTATGGTCCTGAGGGTAGTGCATTTAGAGAGTTGCGATTGTATATAGGTTTAAAAGGAAAAAAAAAACATTAATTTTTTTTTTTAAAAAAAAAAACAAAAAAATCATATTACATATCTATTGTGTTTTTCTTTTTTATCCCTAATCTTGTTAGTGTTAAAGTTTGAAGTTATAAAGGTCGAAGTTAAAAAATTTATTAAAAAAAAATTTTAAAAAATAAATTATACTATATAGTAGTGTTAATATTACATATGGAAATTTTTTTACGCACCCCGCATTCCATAATTAGCCAATCAAATTTAGGGATTTGTAGTTTTTTAACTTTAGTACGGGACAGCTAAAGATACGTATTATACAGTGCGGGACACCCATAAACCAGCATCTTTTTATATGTATTTTATAAAAATTGATATAATTTAAAACAAAAAATTTTTTAAAAGATTTTTTTAGCCAATTGTAGCTTTTAGTCTACTGTAAGCTACAAATTGGCTAGAAAAGAGGTTTACTTTATTTTAATTTTAAAAAGTTATATTGATTTAAAGTTTATTAAGCAATTGAAAATTTGCTTAAGGGTAGATGGTACTACATATAAACTTAATGGCAAATTTTTTTTATATTTAATGTTATAAAATATTTTACTAAGTAACCTAATTTTAACTATTATTTAAATTTTGTAGAGTATGTTTTTCTGATTCTAATGATAGTAAATTCATTAAAATTGTTTAAAAACTCAGTAAGATATGAAAATTTTAAAATTAGGTATAAAATTTTAATATTAATTGATAATCCGCCTATGAACTGGAGAATAGGCGAAATGAGATGTCTGCCATCTAAAACTTTTTTCTTACTAAGTTAACGACACATGCCCATTAATTGAAAATTGTAGAGCTCGTCGAGACGCATCTAACAGTGGT